GAGAGCCGTAGTAGGCGGAGCATCTGTTGGTATTGAACGTGATTCCACCAGACTGGTGTCCGAAGCCACTACAGAGATAGGTTGTGTATCCACGCCGGAAAAAAGTGCCCTCAGTAAGCAGAATCTGCTCATTGGTGATATTCAGCACCGTGAGAAAGGCGGTGCCGTTCAAGAAGCGGACAAGACTCGATGAAAGTTCTATCTCTCTGGATAGACAAAGGGCTGATGTATTGACTAGAACGTCACCGTTGTCAGTGTAGTCACAAATAACAGTGGTAACGTGCTCGTGGTTAGGTGTCACAAGGAAGCCTTTGGCTGTTTGTAGCTGGTTACGTGATTTCGGGGAGATATCATCTGTCTCTCGCATATGTATGAGTTGTTGTCGACAAGAGATAGAAGCACCATCATCAGAAAGAAAATCCCATCCTAAAATAAGCATAAAAGCACAAAAAGCCAACACAAAAACTGAATATGGTGCCGGATACCATCAATGAAAACTCTAACGGTGCACTATGCTGATGGCCTATCTGCGGGTCATTTGCACTACGTAAGAGAGTGCCAGTATAGATGGGGTAACCTTATGTAGACGAGAACGCAATTCCACATGAAAAACAGAAATAGCAGCCCCCGTGTCAACCAATGCTTGAACTGGTACCCTTCACCATACACTATTAACAAATTGGCGGGGCCCTCTGGAGGTCTTGGTGTTTGTTCGAGCGATGCAGCTTTCCTTCCAAATACTGCACCAGCTACTTTTCCGAGTGGTAGTCAGAAGTATGTGCAGCCGGTCTCAGAGGAGATGTTGAGCATCGCAGAGGTGAAGGGGACCGGCGCCGTCCGGGATAGTAGGGGCGAGGTGCGGTGAGTTGAGAAGTCGGAGAAAAGCAACGTGTCATAGGGCGGCGCTGGTACTGGCTCGGGGATTGCAGCGAATCTCTTTCGTAAACGTCGTAGCCACGGCGTTCGTCCTGCTGGCGTTTGCGGCAAAATCGTGAAATATGGCTCTGAATGCTACAATAGTAACATATTGGGCGAGACGAGCGCCAGGTGGCGTAGAGTGCTTGAGCTGTGACAGGCGCTGGTACTGGCGCTTGGACAGGCGAGTGTGGTGCGAATGCTGCTAGGTTGGACTGCGCAGAAACAGGATGTGCGTGCTGAACCAATGCAGGTGGCATGGCAGCGATTTGCGCATACGTCATGGGCGGCGTTGGTGGCGTCGGAGTGTTGGATGGAAGAGCGCCAGCCATGGATGAGAGCTCCTCTTATATGATGTCGCGCAGACCAGCAGATGGAGAGTGAGGCCGAGGGGCGGGTGCACATGACAACCCTTGCGCTTGAAGTTCCTTGCGAATCAGAGTGCGAATCAGCGTGCGCGAATCCGCATCCGAGGAAGGCCGGCTGTTTGTGGCGTCTGTGTAGTCTGGGTGCAATCGAATGGCTTGGAGTTCATCAAGACGTTGACATGTGGTGATGACGTCTTCAACGGTGGTGTGGTTTTTTACAGCCAGAGCACTAAACGCGACGTGGCCTAGCCCTTTAATGATGTGGCGAACACGATCAGCTTCCGTCATCGCCGAGCTCACGTGGTGGCAAAGGGCAATGACGTCTGCAATGTACGAAGTGTACATTGCCCCGGGATGTAGGGCACGCCCATCGAGCTTTCGTTTCGACACTTCAGAATGGATGTTCGGTTTCGCAAAAATCCTACGGGCTTGTTGAGAAAAAGTAGGTCAATTCGGGAAGCTGCTCTCGTGGTTAAAAAACCATGTTTTCGCGACATCGGACAGATAGAAGGCGACGTGAAGAAGTTTTTGAGGTTCATTCCATTGGTTATAAACACTGGTCATGTCGCCTTCTTTCAGCCATACCTCGACGTCGTCGCGGGAAAGACCAGAGAAGATGGGTGGGTCACACTGCCGGGCGTGGACGCTTCACGCAGGAGTGGTTTGTTGGACAGGGATGCTGGATGTCCTGGGCAGTGGTCCTTGATCCATGACAGCGGACGGAGAAGCAGGCGGCGACCCGAACGAAGCTCCAGGGAAACGTGACGTTGGAGAGGACTTGGGGATCGAAGCAGCCTCCACCACTATGTACGACAGTAGCAGCATTGAGGTCACGGCGGCGTTTATTAGGCCGAATCGCCTGGTCAACGCTTCGAACGACGAAGACGCTTTTCGTGATGATGATTATATACAGATGAAGAAGGTGAAGGTCAAATGCTGTGAATATTGTGCTTACAATATAAATGTTGCCGTATATGTTGCCGTCGCTCTGTCAAGCTTGCTCGCTTACAGAGCACGGTTGTTCAGTGAAAATGTCCGTTTATTAACAAAAAAGAGAAAGTGTAAAGAAACAGCCAAGTTTATTCAGCTGCTCGTCTTGATTCTGCACCATCGTTGCCACACATCAATTCAGGACTTTTTATTACTATAAAATATACACTACAGAAGAGGCAAGAAAAAGAACAATGCTTCATCGGAATGAATGCTGTCCAGCCGACTTCCATAAGTGCAACCACCCCATTGACAGCTGTTGAGGGCGTGTTCGTAGCTGCAAGATATTGAGTTTCCTCGGAAGGCGCAGTGCTTTCATTCATAGGTTTCCTGAAAAAGTAATTGCAGAAGCATTCATTATTTCAGACAAAACTGTTAATGCACTTGTAGTTATGTCCAATCGCGTAAAAATTAGACGAAAACTGCTTTATTCACAGAACCCATCATAATGCAATTGAACAGTTCAGAACGTGTTACGAAGCACAAGAAGCCCGTTCTCGAGTTTAACGCTTCAAGCTTTCACTGCGATACGCCTGTGGGCCCACTTATTTATGAATGAAGCTTGCACTTCATTTTAGAAATTTAAAACTGGAACAAACCTAGCATCGCCACAAACGAGCCGACGTGGTCGCCGACTGCCTGTGTTAGCCATGTCAAGCCAAGCTAGACATGCAATGTTAACAGCTGACCTTCCTAAATCAGTTGGTTACCTTGTAAAAATTATATTGTGTGGAGTTTAGGAGAATTTATTTTTAGAAGGGCAGAAATCTCTGATGAATAATGCTTATTTGTGCTGCACTGAAAGCAATACAATCTATGAGTGGCTGTACTTGCTACTGCTAATGGATACCACGTTTCAATGACTCATGCACATTTTTAATTCTATAGCAGACGGGGCAGCTCTCGTAACGCTGTGTAGCGCGAGCTCACAAACCATGCGTGTTTTCTTCGCGAAGAAAGTGAGTGTTAAACAAACGCTCCTCATTACATATCGGCAACACACAGGTAGATCTCGCGGAGTGATGGCAGTCTTGTTTACACTCACCTTTCAGGCGATATTCCAGTCTGCGCGTAGCATTTCGATAGCGTAGAACTTCATTGCAGTATGGAATCACGTTTCCGACAGCGCAGAGATGATTCAGTGCTCCACAAGAGACAGCAATCACAACCACATAACGATAACACATGCACAATACACCGCTGCACCAACGAGGGTTACCTTGACGGGAACACCACGCCACGCATTGATACAGCTGAGTACGAGCACCTTTTTTTTATTTTTGAGGGTGGGGGCATACAAGTTTGCGCATGTTTATGCTATATAAACAACGTTACTTTGCTCCTGACGCAGTTGCCATGGTTCTCACGACCATTTACCCTAACTCAATTTGTTGACAGCTCATTTGTTTAGGTAACTATTTGCTTACGCGCATGCTGACCCTTCCTTCGAGGCCACCTCTGCGCCGGCAAGTTCCGCGGAAGTAAGCGTTGCTCCACATGGTCTGTCAGTTCCTCCCTCTGTTCGCACTCGGCACTCTCGTCTTGCAGTTAATCCCTCCATGAACTAACTGTTGGTTGCAGGGACGAAATGCAGCACTTACTCCCATTTCGCTCCCTTTTCGCTTCCCTGCGGCTCAGAGTGTAGCTGTTCATCACTTGCGGTGCAGAATGCCAAACAAAGGCCCATGTCTCTAACTTATCAACTTGCATTCCCATTTAATACATCTGATCTTCTGCAGAATAATAATGTGAGTAGGTTTGCGGCTGACAAAAATTTCCTCTTACCCCCCGCTCATACTAATTATGGGCAAAAAACTTCCTTTTTCAGCGCGATATCCTTTTGGAATGCGTTACCTTTTAGCATTAAGCGTTGCACTTCATTTCCTTTGTTCAAAAAGTCAGTCAAAAATAATTTTCTCGAATAACCTTACTTGTGATCGTTTACCTGTTTGACTCGTTTGTTCATCGTTTTTTTTAATACCATGTTGCGCGTTTTGGCTTGACTTGTGATATAAAAGTGCATTTTAATATCCGTATTTTGTAAGAATGTTCTGTTGCTCTGTATAAATTTTACCGTCGATTTGTATCGACAAACGGAGGATCCCACTAAAGTCTCTGGCTCTGGGACCCTCGTCTGTATATCTTAGATTTTGTACCTTGTTTTTGGAAGTAATAAAACTTGAAACTTGAACTCGAAACTAGGCGCAGAAGTGTCTAGTTATGTATTGTTGTACAAGCGAATGACACCTGACTGTGTAGTACAACCACGGCCGCTTCAATGGTTGAAAGCGCAGGTGTTATCACAAGGTTGCGTCGTTGTGAACAAGTTGGTTTTATCGACGCCAAGCGCGCGAACAATTTATGCACGTGCTTAAAGGCCTAGACTTTAGTAAGTTCATAGACTCTCCAGATAAAATCCCGTAGGTCCCTGCTTTACGCCAAGCGCGTGAACAATTTATGCACGTGCTTAAAGGCCTAGACTTTAGTAAGTTCATAGACTCTCCAGATAAAGTCCCGTAGGTCCCTGCTTTTATTCTGAGTATCATAGAGCTTCATGTTCGTTGCTGTCCTTGTTCATATTGCGCAGTTTATCTCGTATTCAAACTTGCTTACAAGGCGCTCAAGTACTTGTTGTTGATAGCTGGTAGAGAAACTCTTGCGCTTTACGTACTGAACCAATCATATTAGGAGGGCGTATTGCTCAAAGGCTTTAATGCATTTCTTCAGGGCACTGCGGCTTGTGCACCTATTCTCGATGAACCCCCACCTGGGGCCCCTGCAGATATCATTGGGCAGGATGGTCATCGACATCGTCAAGTTTTTCTTCGTCTACACCCTGGTGCTGTTCTCGTTCGCCTGCGGCCTCAACCAACTGCTTTGGTACTACGCGGACCTCGAACAGACCAACTGTGACCCGAACAACATCAGAGACTCCTCCTGCCTTACGTGGAGGCGATTCTCCAAGTGAGCTCCGAAAAATTTCTAATTATGGGAGGAGGTATGATGATGATGCTACTCATCTTTCTTCTGGTTGGCCTTTGCAGCCTGTTCGAATCGTCGCAGTCCTTGTTCTGGGCGAGCTTCGGCCTGGTGGACCTCTCCAACTTTGAGCTGACAGGCATCAAGAGCTACACGCGGTTCTGGGGCCTACTCATGTTTGGATCGTACAGTGTCATCAACGTCGTCGTTCTCCTCAACCTGCTCATTGCCATGATGAGCAACTCATACCAACGCATATCGGTAAGACACGTTCACTCATATTTCAAGCTCTTTATGGAAGAAAAGTTTTTGTTCTGCCTTGACATTTAGCAGTGTGCAGTGACAGCTCTAATAACGTCTTTACGAGAGCCCGAATTTCAGGCAAATGACAATTTGGTCTTATTTTACCACTTTGATATATGAGCGTGAATTATAGCTTAAGGAGTGTTCTATAGCGTTGTTAGAGTCCCTATTATTGCCTATTTTTTATGTTTGCGCCTAAATTCTTATAGGTGCATATAAATGCCTATTTTCAAAGTCTGTGGCATACGAACGCTACTTAACGTCGAATTTCGCTTTCGCGTATAGTTTAGACCATTATTCATGCCATCGGGTAAAATTAATTTTTCGGAACTTATGGGGTTCAACCTAGTTCTCTAGTTAAACCAACTTCGGAAAGAAACCAAACAGCAGCAGTGAAATAGGGCGCACCGACCGCCTAGCGCTGACACGGCGCAAGTGCTTGAGGAGGCGGGCAGGCGGGGGAGAGGTAAAGACGCCACTTCTACAGCGCTAATTCGAAACATGAGGGCAACCACTGGAGACGTCAGTGCGCTTCTGTTGCTGTGACGTAGTAAACGACATCATGTGACTCGCCTATGCCGTCGTCAGTGCAGCGCACTTGCTTGCAGCTCCTAGCCAGCTCGTTTTATAACACACAGGTTTGGTCACACGCTCATTGCATCACTGCCGGACGCATTCGAGTGAGCCTTCATGCGAATGAGCCCCTGCGAAGCGTCGTGGCTCCGATACACTTGACGGATAAAACTGAAATTGGCGAAACAATTTAGCGCTCATCCTGAGGTCGGCAGCTCACTCAGTGGCTCCGCAAAGATTTTGCGTCTGGGATTGGAGATAAAATGTTCGGTGCGTATGACCCAATAGTTCACAGATATGTAGGCATAGAAATTTACTGCCTTCATTTGTACCATGGTGCAAATAAAGGCAGTAATGAGAGCCTGCAGGCAGCAATAAAGAGCCTGCAGGTTCTTTCTAGCCTGCAGGCTCGAAATAACGATTCCAGAAACGTAGAATCACAACAACCATTCTGTTCGGCGCTTGTATTGTTAAAAAAACGCCTGATGCGATCTCTCACCGTGGTGTGAGTTTTCGTGCATACTCTAAAACCAAAAAGCAGCGGAATGCATGTTGGGTAAAGTCGAGACTAGCGAAACAACCAAGTATTGATTATCGTGTGTGTGGCAAACGTTTTCACGAAAATATTTAGTGTACTGCGTTCGGTTTGATATCTGGTGAGTACGACGTTGGACTTTCCGGAAATGTGCACATAAAAATTTTCGACGTTTATTCAGCCAGGCCGAGAGGCCTTTTTCTGCTGTCTGCAGCTCAAGGGCAGCGAGTATGGTTTTGCCTTGATGATGTCACTTTGCGTTGCATATTCGGACGTTTTTTCTTCTGTTAGCTGCGGTGATGTGCTGAGCTGTTGGTAAACGAATTAGTTGATAGCAGTGACCAGCAGAGTCACCAATAACAGGATGCAGTAACTGTAAATATTAATCAAGCAAACCATGCGAGCAGGTAATATTGCAACGTTCGCGCATCACATCGGATCAGTGAATACACCCCGCGAAGAGAAGCGCGTCTAGTGAAAGCCATGATTAAAGAGACAAATTATATGCGAGGGATGTTCCCCTTGTTGAAATATCTGCCTTTTAAATAATCGTTCTGTAATAACTCTGGTGAAGGTAGCCGGCCGCACAAGCCACGCTTGTTGTGAAGAGTGATGTTATTGCGGCAAAAGAGCTTTATATATCCTTATAAAAGGTCAAGCGAACTTAAAAAAGATGCCAAAGCATCGTTCCTCTTTTACCATTTGATACCACTCTCAAAAATAGGTCGAGGTGTTATTGTGGATACTGTGCGACAGTCCTACTGATCAAAACGTTACCGAGCACTTTCCGCTCAAAAGCAAGAGACAGGTACCCGCCATCGCGCTTGCCTCACTAACCGCAAATGTTCGTTCAATGCGAGAATTCTTTGGTTTACAGATTACTGAAATTATTTTCATTACAACTCACTTTTTACCAGAGCACCTCTTCGCGTTGTGCGTGCCTGGCGTCATGCGCACGCACTCCGCCTAAAGTGCACGACTTGACGATGACCGTACGTTGGCTCACTAAAAAGCTTTGTTGGCCAACACTCCAAGTTGTTTCGCAGCTTACACAAACACAACCGATGCTTGCGAAGCGAGAAGTGACACGGCAAAACAGCCTGAATCACAGGAGTTGTCGAACAATTCACTGCTGGTACCACGTGATGTCATTTTATACGTCACAGAAGAATTTTGGCGGAGGGCGCCACGGTATGTCCTCGCCGCCAATACAGGGGAAATGGAAGAAGGAAATAGGTGTGGGGACAGGAGAGGAAAAGGGCGTGCCTGGCCAAGGACGTGGTGGGTAGCTTTTACAGCCGGTTTTCGGTAGGAGTGTTCCCAAAGAATTGAACTTGAAAGTCTAGATGTATGGGGGAAGGGGGAGGAAAGGGTAGAAATTAGAAGGTGCCTCTGCGCAGCCCCAAGAAAATGGAGGAAGAATGCGAAACCATGGAGCGTCGTCAGAGAAAAGTAGAGCATATGTAAAAATTCACTGCCACATCCACAATAAGAATGATGTTAGAGGAGATGGCTCGCAGTTGGACAGAACGCTTCTTGGTGAGGCCATTTCTGCATGAAGGCTTGTTAACAAGCCAGCGCATCATGTCTACGTCGAAGGTAGCATTGTCTGGCACGTTCCGCGGCCGGCACTGCACAGTGCCGGCAACGTTGATCGGCCAATTGCGCACCTGCCGCTTTATGCCATACTGGGCGCTGCCTTGAGTCAAATGCCTAACGCTCAAAAATGGCGGACGTGGAGAGGCGTTCTTCAACGGGGCTGAGAGCCGGCAGGTGAGGGCGGATTGGAGGATATCAGTAAACGTGCGTAACGCTCGTCGTAGGGACGTACCTACGATGCGACAATCCTCGCTCTGCTGGCCTGTCTGACGGTTCTTTTTTCTCTCCTCCCGGCTCAGGGGCGGTGCCCGTTCGCGTGTGGCCAGACTAAACACCACTGACACCCTCACCTTTGCCTCTCTTTCACATTTCTTTATCTCGCCCACAACCCATTCCACATGTGGTGTTGCTGAGGTGATCTCCCGAGAAGGACAAAGTTACGACGTCATACTTTTCTCTTCGCTTCACTTCCTTTCAAATCCACTTCGATGAGGCGAACGCGCAGGCCATCGAAAACCGATGCCTTGTACAGTTCCTCGATGTGCTTCTGCGCAACAGGGTAGAGACACTGCCTTTGTGGAGGCCACATGGGTTCAAAGCGTTCACGTTCCCTGGCATTACCTGGCTTGCAGAGAGGGATCCCTTTCAGATAAATGCGCGGCAATTCAGCTCACTCTATCCCGTCAGGCGGTAGGGATTGCATATGTAACCTTATTAACAAATAGGTTGGGCCTTAATTATTACGCACGAAGGATTTGATGGCGAAATAAAGGCATTTAAAGCATATTTATCAGCCTGTCTATCTCACAAATTGCACGGGTTGGCGTACTTTCGCGGCCAATTCATTAGGCTGAGTAGTACCAAAATGACTACACATGATTATAGGAGGTGAAAAAGATAAACGACCACTGGTTACATGAAAGCTATGACAGGCCCCTAATGTACGCTATGACATACGGGACATGACCAAGGAGCTACAATGGCCGTTTGGTGAACTTCATGTATACCAAATTGGCATGGTATGAGAAAGTCATGAGAAAATATACATGACTGGTCATAAAACCTTGTCATGCATGTCACATAGGCCATGGCATACATGTCCCCGTCATGTAGCTCTTACGGCCGTTCATTAAAAGGACACTGAAGGCAATTATTAAGCCGACGTTGATTGTTGAAATAGTGGTTGAGAAACCACGTAGTGTTACTTTTGTGCAAAGTAAGGGGCTATTTTGAAACAAAATCACGTGTGGGTTGTCCGCATCGGGTTATCGCACTTCAAATTACCCGCCTAAAGAAGCGGTCTGACTGGACCGATTCACTTCACTGTTACCGTGCACAACGTTGCCTTGCTTCACTGCGCTAGTAGCAGCAGTCCGAAAGCAGCGGGAGCCACAGCAGCAACAATGGCCATTGAGCGGTTTCCTGCCATTGGCTTCAAAATTGCAGGATTTTTTTTTGTTCAACTACGCCTCAATCAAAGGCACCACCTGTTCAGTGTAACCATGCGAAAATTGAATTTTTGAACCACTCGCGCATTTTCCAATACTAACGTCTGGTGGTTCCTTTGTCCATGAATCAAACAAAAGCGAACAAGCAGCATTTTATTGCGCCACTTGATGTACAGAAGGTTCCTTATTTAATGCAGTTAGAACAATTACTAGTGAATAATTGCAAGCGGTCCTTCTGGTGTCACCGGGATCATTTTGAGAATGTCCTACTGCGGCGCTTGTGTTCTTGTGCATTTACTTTGATTTCTCAGTAATAAGGGTACTGTTGTTAATATTATTGTTGTTTTACATGTTGTCATACATTGAGCTTTCACTCTGACGTAAACTGTTGTTTCACTTTAGTGTCCCTTTAACTTGATGCGTTCAAAAACTGGCATGGCATACCAAGAGCGTATGGCTAACATGAATGATTGGTCATAACACAACAATCATGTCATGCATGTTTTAAGCACGATGGCACACTTGACAGTCGAAATGCTCTGAAGGCCGTTTTATTAACTTTTTGTGTACCAAAACAGCGTAGGATAAAAAAGACTACTTAAAACACCAAAAAGATGTTAGGCATTTCATGTATGCAACGACCTATATACCCCGGTCGCGTATTTGGAATTGCTGGCGCCGCATCGCACGAAGACGGGAAAAGAAAGAGTGCGAGGAGGACGACAGTGCCAGCGTCAGGATTGCTTGCGCGCTATTGGTTCCTTTCTGTAGGGGACGTGCACGCCTGTTGGTGATGTGCTGGT